ATAGATAGATAGATAGATAGATAGATAGATAGATAGATAGATAGATAGATAGATAGATAGATAGATACTGAAGTACATCTTCCAGCCAGCAGGTGGAGACATTTTGCTTGAAATATTGAGGAGGAAAACCAAAATGGCGGTCTCCAACAGATGTTTTGCTCCGTTGCTATAGTTACAGTAGTTCCAGAGCTAAAAACTTTATGAAACCCGTTTAATAAAATAGCTGCCTCTGCCTTAATTAATTGTGTTTAATTAAAGGTGTTAGTTAGTCTGCAGGAAGGTTGCAGGTTTGATTTCCTTCAGTGGTTTAAAATGGAGAACAGGAGGAACTTTAACCTCCACCTGAGGGATGAAAAAATGAGTCTTAGTCTTTTTTAAAGGAACGGGACCAAACCTGAGTTCCTCTGCAATCTGAACATTTTTTCTTTCTTAAATTGCGTTTATATCCCAAATGCAATTAACTGGCCAGTCCTGTTTAAATGAATAGAATATTTTCTGCTATTTTTAATTATCTGTCTGAACTTCAGAAATCATTTTCACTGGGAGGATCCTGCAATTTATGTTTTTATTTTTCATCATTTTTATGTTTGATTAGAAATGATCTGGGGATAATCTGGCAGATTAAAGTATCTGTTTCCGACATCTGGGGGGAAAAAACCAGTTCTTTATCAGATGAAGCTCCATGGATGCTGATTGACAGGATATGCTGAGCTAATTAGCAGGTTTGTTCTGAACAGCCTGACAGCAGAGAGCTTTCCTTTGTTCCCAGAATGGCTGCCTTTAAGGCCGCCTGCATTATTCACATGGATATCATTTAACCCAGTGACACACATGCTGATAGAATATCAGCTCATTCTCACTTTGTTCTGCTGAAATTTATTCAAATTCCTGCTGAAATCCATGGAAAGGTCAATCACAGGCGCAGAAACGTCCTTTTTATGGATCTGCAACGATTTTTTTAGATAATTGTTTATTTTTGGGATGTTTCAGTGTTTTAATCTGCTCTTCTTTCTTTCTTTCTTTCTTTCTTTCTTTCTTTCTTTCTTTCTTTCTTTCTTTCTTTCTTTCTTTCTTTCTTTCTTTTGGATTCTGTGAATGGAAAGATAATATATATTTAAGGCTTTGAACAAAGTAAAATTAAAAGATCAAAAAGATTCTCCTTGGAGAGATTTTTTAAAGTTGATTCTGAGGTGAAATGGGGATTAATTTAGAGAAACCATTGACTAAAAATGTTGGTGATTTAAAATGGAGAAGTTTGCATGGTATTATTGCTGTTAATGTTTTTATTTCTATTATTAATCCGACTGTTTCAGATAAATGTCCCTTTTTTAATGAAAAAAAACTTTTTTCTTTCATTGTTTTGTGCAATGATTTGGATTAATGGATTTATTTATGTTACTAAGAGATATTTGGAAATCATTTGGAGAAAATTTTACTTTTAGTTTTTTGTATGACAAAAGAAAATAAAATTAGACGGTTGCTTAATATTTTTCTCTTGCAATATATTTGAGTAGAGTATTTAAAATAAGCTTTAATTTGCCTTAACTGTGTTTTTATAATTTGAATCTGTGCTGTAAATGATGTCTGTGAAACAAACAATCTTTACCAAAGTGAAACAATCTGACCGTTTATCCAACTTCAAGCTTCTCTTCCTTCAAATCTTTGCAATTTCCAGGTTTTATTTTGAAACTCAGATTTCTGTAAAGATATTTGCCCTAAATTCACAATAAGCTTTTGATGTTATTCATTAAAACAAATCTGTAGAACATCTGCAACCTGAACAGTTCTTAGCAAAGGACTTTTAGTTTTAATGTGTTACCTTTTATGTCCAGCAGAGGGCATAAAATGGGACCAGTTAAGCATGTTTTTCAGTTTTTTTTTTTGTTTAAATTTGAGTGTTAAGATGCTTAAAAATGTACTTTAAACCATTTTTCAGACCTTTTCTGGATTTTAACACCTTTCAACCAAAACAATGTTGTGAAATAACATTATCTAATGTATATAGATATTGTATATAGTGGAGAAATATAAAATAACAAAAGACTAATGTAGATATGTAAAGCTGGATTAATGGTTTCCTGGATGCATTTCATGTCTTTTCTGATCTGATCTCAGTGTTTGTCCTTTAGCTCTACATTTTCATCTAGCAGGTGATTTCTCAGCACTGAAAGCTAAAGTTAATGATCAAACCCACTGACAAGGTTCCCATAGTAACCACTTTCTAAACAAATCACATATCAGAGTGGTTGAGCAATAGGTGAGCGCAGATAAACACTGACTGTAGGTCGGCTGAGCTGCAGGATTCCCTCAATCCTTTTAGCCGAAACACCTGCTGATGTCATTTGCTCTGATGTTGATGCATTTCTATTAAAATGGCTGCATAGAGGTGATTCTAAATGACAGGTGATTAATGAAGCTGTCCATGCAGTCACCCTGAGGAAGACAGGCGGTTCAGACCAGCCTCCTCCGCCTAAGAAAACAACTTCAACAAATTCCTGTTTTATTTATTTCTTCTTTTATTTTGACATTTCATTCTTTGTGTGCCATTAAAGTCCCCAAAGACACGTAGAACATATTGTGTGTTGTCACAGGTCAGGGTTTAGAAAATTTACTCTCCATCGTTTCTGTTGTCCCACAGCATCACTACCCCCCTTCCATGCATAGTGATCAGTGTGCAGCTGTTAAAAGTCTTGTTTTGTAAATATATGCCTGCAGTTTTGGGCAGTTGTGCACATATTCCAATCTAGTGGAAGCGATTGCATCTTCCCATGCAGGAAAATCCCATTTGTTGATCATTGCAATGGGAAAAAATTCAGCGACACCAAGATGGCTGAAACAGGGAAAAAGATCAAACATGATATGATTTCTACATGCAGAGGAACCGACAGGATACCAACCGGAAAACTCTGTTACATCTAGATCTATGCAGCTACTTTGTTGGTATATTGATTTTTTTACAGTATAAAATGCACTTGAATGGACAGAAAAATATTTTTTATTGAATAAAGATTTCTTCAAACCTTGTTTTACATTCCTAAGCATAAAAACAAATAGTAAAAAAAACTCTGAGTTTATCCTAATTCATGCACGACAGAGTTAGTTGGTTTAAGAGGTTTAAAACAGATATAAATACTTAAAGAAATGGTTTTATGATGCATAATGAACAATAAATAAACACACATGAGTGCATCGATGTTGGCCTATAGGTGAAGAATACATAAGTTAGTTATAAACAATTACAGATAGTGTAAACTCTAAGGTCATAAAATCATGCAGGATAAGATAAATGGAAAAGATTCGACAAACATTCACTTCATCTCTTCTGGAAAGTGGAAACTTATCCGTTTAATTTCTTTATTCTTTAAAAAAATGAACATTATCATAATAAAACCTTCCTGCTTTCATTTCCTGCTCTTTCTTTGCTAATATTTGTTAAATTTATTTCATTAATCCTGAGATGAAGCCGAAATGAAGCAATTTAAAATGAAAGATACTTTTATAATCAACGATATTATAGATTATTATTCATTTAATATTTATATTTATTTACTATATAAAAGAGAAACTCCCTCTGGTGGCCAAAAATAGTCAACACGGGGGGAGGGGGGGTTCTGGAATGAATTTAAATCAGTAAATTGTGTTTCTATGTTTCACAGCAGCATGTTATAATGTATTATAATGTATTTACAGTAATTAGTAAATCTTCAGGCAGATCAATCAGCCCGCTAGTGAGGTGTGAGCTTAGCCCCGCCCCCTGCCTGCACCTGGCCACTCAGCATTAGTCAGCTGCCCCGCCTCCACAGGTGACAGTTCACCGCTGAAGGCTCGTTTAAAGCTTCACCTGAAACTCTTCCTCAGCTTTTCTGCCTCTCACCTCTAAGATGTTCTGCTGACGTCGCGTCTGAACTCACGTGCGTCACTTGAAGGTCCGACCTGCAGAAGAAGCTCTGGAAGTTTCTAAGGTGGTGAGAAAACATCAGTTTGGATGTGTTGTCTTGTTATGAAGGAGTTTCTTTAATCAGGTCTGTTATTATCGGTCAGTAGGAAACTGGATCTGTTGGCGGATGATTGACTTTCATCTTTTAAAGTTATTTATTAGTTATTTATTAGTATTTTCTCTCTGCAGAGCATCTTCTGTTACATAACCTGTTATTACAGGAACGATAATCTGCTGTAACTGACTGGTGACTCAGCAAAAAATAAGATAAAAAATTAAAAACATGATTTAAACTCATTTAGAGCTATTTTCATTTTGTCAGCTGCTGATTTTTGCCTCTAATCGGTTTTTTCTTTAACTTTCATCATAACTGCTTTCATCTCTTTAGTGGAAATGAGTTCATCTATTTCTCAGGTGGTTCAAGCAGCTGAGCTGTTTGCAGGTTTACCTGCAGCTCAGGTGTGAATCATGCTTCATCTAATGGACACATTTACAGGCTGATTGAGTTAATGGCCTCTTATCTCCTTCCACCTGCTCTTTCAGGACCTGCGGAGCAAAGTCCATGTTGGTCATGTAAGAGCAACGCCAGGTGTTGGTGAAGCTCCTCAGGTCATGGCTGCCTGTCAGAGTTTTTCATGTGAACTGACTGAATAAAGCTAAAGCCCAGCCTGGCTGAGATGCATGCTGCTGACTGACTGGTTCCTGGCTGACTGACTGGTTCCTGGCTGACTGACTGGTTCCTGGCTGACTGACTGGTTCCTGGCTGCTGCTATTCCTTCAGCTGAGGAACCACAACTAAAATCCTTATTAGGAGCAGAAGTTTATTGTGTTGGAGGTAATTCTGGGCTTTGCACAGAAAGCTCCTGCTCTGCAGGTTTCTGCTTCAGCCTCAACAGCTTTTAGAAACTCTGCTTTTATATATTTGTCTGGACTTGATCTTCTAAAGTTTTCTTTAACTTGTTTTTACCAACAGAAGGATTTTATATTAAGCTGTAGAAAATATGCAGTAACATTTATTTCTGCGTTCAGTTGTTTTGTTGTCTTTATTGTGAAAATCCTCCTCCTCTAACGTTGTTTTATTTATTGCAGCTCTGCCTTTAGATAACAGCACCTTTATTTTTATCTTCGCTGACTGATGAAAATCTGCATAAATCTCTTAATTGAATGTTCAGATTTTTAGGAGCAAATTGGAAAACAGATATTTAATCTAAATGTATATAAATAATCTGAGGACTAAAGCTGATTATTAGGTTTTAAATATGTTTGAGATGCATTGATCTTAAGAGAATTAAGTCTACGTAGAAATGTGGGAACTTGTGGGATTTTTCCAGGTAATGACTAATTGCGCGTCATTTGCTCCGTGTTGGTTTTAACTTTGTATCTTTCTAATAAACTAGCCAGAAGTGACTAATGTGAAACTTTGAGCTGAGCTGATATGCACACCCACATCATTTATTATTGCAGGAACAGATTACAGACCTTTATAACCTGATTATGTAACGGTGTAACGCTCACTAACAAGCGGCTGAACAATAGAGCTGAAATGACTATAGAGCAGTTTTAAAAGTTTAAAGGATAACCAGCATCTTCTTCTGTTGGACTGATTATTTATGCATAAAATGCCCTCCACACCTGCCGTTACCGTGGTAACAATGCGTAAACAAATGTGATACCTCTTTGTGTCTGACCTTCCTCCACATCTTTCCTCCTAATGTCTTTTTCTTTCTGCTTCTCTTCCTTTCACGCCTTCTTTTCCTTCAATCTGCACTTTATTCCTTTCTTTCCATCCTTTCTTCCTTTTCTCCTCCTTTTATTCCTAATGCTCTTCTTTTCTTTCTTTCTTTTTCATTCCGTCCCTCTTTCATCCTTTATTTTCTTGCCTTTGTTCTTCATCTTCATTAAATCTGTTTCCGGTTTTTATGTTTAAAGCAAACTTTCCTAAAAGTAGATAAATAAAAATATTGTGTTTTATGTGGACAGAAAAGAGCAGAGTAGATGCTACAAATTCTAGTTGTTAATATGAGCAAATTCAAAGTTTAATAAAACCTCATATTTCATGCAGTGTTTTTAATAAATGTAAAGTCAAAACAAAGAAAAAACACGTATAAATCCAAACTGTGTTGATAAAATGATCTGTTGTGATTCTGAGGTTTACTTTCATTAACTAGTTTTACTTTAACTCCGACAGTTTGAATCTAACTCAGTAGCTCGCTCTTTAAATTAGTGTAAAATTGACTCTATAAGCAGTTTCATCTTTTCAGAGTTAATTTTAATCATTTTAACGTTAAAGTCAGAACCTGGCAGGTAATTTACACCTTATAGAGTCAAACTTAGTTTGCATGGCTGTTATATTTACTGACTGTTTTTTCCAACAGCTGAGCAGATTTACACTCGTAGAGTTTACTCTGAGTCAAATAGATTGACTCTGAACTTCTAACACCACATTTTCTACTTTGTACCAGTTGTTGAATATAGTTTAGAGCTAAAATATGTTAACAGTATTTTTTTTTTTGTTGATGTTGGTTTTCAATGACTTCCTGTTTACCTGTGGAGAAAAAAGGGACACAGACGCCATTTTCTGTTAGTGAGTCTCCAAAATGGGAAACGCAAGAGAACGAGGCGGGCGGGTAGGGTGCATGGATACTGGGGGGGTCTTATTGAACAGATTGTTTTTAATAAATCTGTTTTCTTTTATTATTTAGTCTTATTTTCCACTGTCACGCCTTCTATGTGGGACAATAGAGGCCTTTTCTCCTTATCTGACCACAGAACTAATGAACGGCAGCAGAGGGGCCCCCTGGGGTCCCCAGGGCTCCAAATATTTATTTTATGCTTTTAGCAGACATTATTCCAGGGAAGGCTGATAAATGCAAAGGTTGCTGTACGTCTCAGGATGAAGCCGTCGCTGTGAGGCAGAAAGCATCCTGATGATTGCAGCTGCTCAGGTGAGCAGTGAGGCTCCACACCTGGCGGCAGGCCAGAGCCGCCAACAATGGCGTGGAGAGGTGACGAGCGCAGAGATAAGAGCAGGAACAGGAATGCTCTCCTTTCATTTCTTTCAGAGGATTTTAGGAGATTGCTGCTTAAAGTGGTTTTGTTTTCTGATCTGCACTCAGAGCCTGGCTGTAAACGCACCTCTGACTGTCCGTATTTATCAGGCCAATCAGCTGAACGCTGACTGATGGCGTAGAGCCCAACAGGATCCCAGGTTCCTACTGTCTAAAGCGTTCAGAGTGCAGCTGATGCAGGATCCTAACCTGATGATGCAGGTAGAGACGTTACCTTTAAGCAGCCTTTGAATGTCACATCAGGTGATATTCATTGCAACTGATTACTCTCCTTTCTTATTAAAAACTGAAACAGTTTAACCTAATAACAGCATTAATGCTTCAATGCAACAAACTTTTTAAGACGTTTTCTCTGCAGTAGATTAAAGCTGAGGAATATTATTCTGTTCACTCAGAGATCAGTTTATTGTGTAACTCGTCTGTTCACACATTCAGAGCCAAAGTCCTGAGGTGGAAGGGCGTGGGAAGCTTTGCCTTTCTGCTCCTCCTAGTTCCTCACCTTTAGAGGCAGGACTCCTTCTGCAGCATGAAGGAGCTGCAGTTCTGCATGCATAGTTATCAGTGGACTGGATTTAATTAGTCAGCCTGCATCTCTAGCTGTGGAGCATCTCTGCCTTCAGAAAGCAGAATGAGCTGGAAAAGACTTTTTTATTTATGATATAATCTCAAAGTTTAAGATCTAAATAAAAAATAAAAACAACAGTAGATCATTATTGTAAAGTAGAACAAAAATGATGCTTTTATGGTTTCTCCCCTTTTCATTCTATATCCAACAGGAACTAACCTTCAGATGCTCTAAAAGCTAAAAAAAGAGTTTTCTAAAATACTTCTGTTCTGTAAAAAGCATCAGAGGCCATTAAAGCATTATGATGACGACAAAAGATCAGGGAGAGTTTTATTCTTATTTTTATTACTTTGAATTCTGTATGCATTTATTCTTCGTTTATTTTATATTTTGGGGAATTATTTACAGAATTTATTTGGAGATTAATAATCTTTTATTTTTTTGTTCCTTTGTTTTAATTTTTGTTCGTTTTTATTTTTATTACGCTTCAATATTGGAAATAAATGAAAACTACCTGCGTCCCTCTGCTGCAGGAGGATAACCATCCCTTTAGTCACAGTCAGAGAAACAGGACTACACTGGAAAACAGGCCAAGCTCCAACATCTAGAAACAAAGGTGTTGATGGCAGCAGCACAGCT